CAAGTCAACCTAGTTTGACACAGTTGGCAGATTTAGTCCCTCATGCGTATCTTGGTCGTTTCAACTCCAATTCGCATGAAACGTTTCAGATCTCTTAACTAATCTATAAGAAGCTTAAGTATAAAATTTCAGCCTCTAATTCGATCCAAAAGTCCATATTCCAATCCTTCTTCGATATTTTTCACTTATTTACTACAAGAACATGGGTTCCCCTATATGGCCCTATAGTGCACACTTAGACATTTTTTTGTGCACTTTTATCATTTTCACTTTTCACCTAACATAAATAAGCACAAACCCATAATATACTTTATTGACTTAGTTAAACATGTTTAGCAACATAAATGGACTTTTAGTAAGTTGGATGTTACAAATACCTCCCCTGTTGGACCGATACTAGGGAACCGCCCACATGATATTGTCTGCTTTGGGCTGCCCCTCCCGGCAACAACCCCTCACGGCTTTAAAACGCGTCACTGGTAGGAGTAAGATCCCCCCTTCCTTATAAGGAAGACGAATCCCCCTACCTCACCGATGTGGGATGCTCCTGCATTGCTACAGGAGCGTTGGGTTTAAGAATCGCGGATTTGACCGGTTCGAGGGAACGATGAGGCGGAAGTCCCAACATTCCCCCCCACATTGGTGTGGCCCTAGCTCTGATACCAATTGTTGGACCGATACTAGGGAACCGCTTACATGATATTGTCCGCTTTGGGCTGCCCCTCCCGGCAACAACCCCTCACGGATTTAAAATGCGTCATTGGTAGGAGTAAGATCCCCCCTTCCTTATAAGGAAGACGAATCCCCCTAGTCTCATCGATGTGGGATGCTTCTGCATTGCTACAGGAGCGTTGGGTTTAAGAATCGCGGATTTGACCGGCTCGAGGGAACGATGAAGCGGAAGTCCTAACATCCCCTTTTGAAGATTTCGTCCCCGAAATCATGGTTGTGGAATTAATGAAGGGTACTTAGCCATCATCTTGTCTTTGCGTTCCCATGTCCAATTTGGTCCGCAATGATGTTTCCACTTCACTAATACCAAATCTACCTCTTTGTTGCGTAAATTCACTATTCGCTCTTTCAAGATACTTTCGGGCTCTTCGGCATATTGAAACTTTTCATTTATATTAGCTTCCGATAATGGTACAACTTCCTCATGTTTGCCTAAACATTTACGTAGATAACCGATATGGAAAACATCATGTATACATGCTAGTTCTAAACGGTAAGCTTGTTTCCCGACGCGTTCAATAATCTTGAATGGACCGATGAAGTGAGGACTGAGTTTACCTTTCTTTTTAAACCGTAATACTCCACGCCACAGGGAAACTTTCAACATGACCAAATTTTCGACTGAGAACTCGATCGGTCTTCTGCGGCGATCAGCGTATGACTTTTGTCGGTCCTGAGCCGCTTTCATCCTCTCTCGAATCACCTGTATTTTGTCGTGTGTGATTTGTACAAGTTCGGGTCCAACAAGTATCTTTTCCCCGGTTTCTCTCCAACACAGAGGCGTACGATACTTATGGCCGTACAGGGCCTCAAACGGTGCCATTCCAATTGTCGAATGGTAGTTGTTGTTGTAAGAAAATTCAATTAATGGCAGATGAGTATCCCAGCTACCACCGAACTCTAAAATACAGTCACGAAGCATATCCTGTAAAGTCTGAATTGTGCACTCAAATTGCCCGTCAGTTTGAGGGTGATACGCGGTGCTGAAGGCCAACTGCGTCCTAAGTTCTCGTTGTAACCCCAACCAGAATTTAGACGTGAAATGTGAATCACGATCAGAGATGATTTTAGTCGGTACACCATGTCGAGCGATAATTTCATCAACATAAAGTCGTGCCCATTTATACAACGGATACGATTCCAAAACGGGAAGAAAATGCACAGATTTCGTCAACCGGTCAACAATGACCCAGATACTATCATGCTATCGTTGAGTCTTTGGCAACTTCGTAACTAGGTCCATTGTTAACTACTCCCATTTCCACACGGGAACCTCAAGAGGCTGTAAACTTCCGTATGGCTTTTGATGCTCAACCTTCACTTTCATACAGGTAATACACTGCTCAACATAATGTGCAATATCGATTTTCATCCCCGGTCACCAGTAATCAGTACGAAGATCGTAGTACGTCTTAATGCTCCCTGGATGGATAGACATTCTCGATTTATGCGCCTCGACCAATACAGTATCTCGTGCACCACCAAATCTAGGGACCCAGATTCGGGTCTTAAAGACTTTCAAACCACAAGAGTCTTTAGATAAAGAGTCGACATAACCCACCATCCGTTCCGACTTGACGTGCTCAGGCTTCAAAGCCTCGTGCTGCCATTTTCGTATATCATCAAACAGATTGGTTTTCATAGACATATGAGCGATAGCATAACATACAAAATTCGAGTATGTTTTTCGACTCAAAGCATCCGCCACTACGTTGGCTTTACCCGGATGGTAGAGTATCTCACAGTCGTAATCCTTAACGAGCTCCATAGCACGTTGTTGACGCATATTCAAAGTCTGTTGATCGAACAAGTATTTTAAACTTTTATGATCGGTGTAGAGTTGACATTTTGTACCATAAAGATAGTGGCGCCACAATTTAAATGCAAAGACCACCGCTGCCAACTCAAGATCATGAGTGGGGTAATTCTTTTCGTATTCTTTCAATTGACGTGACGCATAAGCGATGACCTTTCCTTTCTGCATCAATACACAACCAAGTCCTAATCGTGAGACATCACTATAAACTACAAAATCCTCACTCCCTTCAGGTAAAGAAAGAATTGGTGCGTGTGTCAAACAATCTTTCAGAGTCTGAAATGCCTTTTCTTGATCTTTGGTCCACACAAACTTTGCATCTTTGTGAGTAAGAGAAGTGAGAGGAACATAAATCTTAGAGAAATCCCGAATGAAACGTCGGTAATATCCCGCTAGGCCGAGAAAACTCCGAATCTCTAAGGCATTCTTGGGTTGCTCCCATTTTTGCACTGCTTCAATCTTTGCAGGATCCACAGAGATACAATCGTCGGACACGTTATGTACCAAGAATTGTACCTGACGTAGCCAAAATTCACATTTTGAAAATTTAGCATAGAGTCGTTCTTTTCTCAACAACTCCAGCATCTGTCGAAGGTGTGCTGCGTGGTCGGTCTCAGACTTCGAGTACACAAGAATGTCATCAATGAATACAATGACAAACTTATTGAGCATCGGACGACATACTCGATTCATTAAGTCCATAAACGCAGCTGGGGCATTTGTGAGACCAAAAGGCATCACCAAAAATTCATAATTCCCATATCTCATACGAAAGGCTGTCTTAGGTACATCCTCCTCCCGTACCTTTAGCTGGGGCATAGAACCTTGCACCTTGAAGCTGATCAAACAAATCATCAATACGGGGTAATGAATACTTATTCTTAATTGTTACCTTATTCAGCTCACGATAATCGATGTACATCCGGAAAGATCCGTCTTTCTTCTTGACAAACAATACCGGAGCACCCCATGGTGAAGTGCTTGGTCGTATGAAACCTTTATTCAATAGCTCTTGTAGTTGATTCATCATTTCTTTCATTTCTGGAGGCGCTAGACGATAAGGAGTCTTCGTTACCAGTGTTGCACCTAGTATCAAGTTGATTTTAAACTCCACTTGCCTATCTGGTGGCAATCCAGGCAAGTCTTCAGGAAACACGTCTGGGTATTCACGTATTATTGGTACATTGTCCATAGTCTTCTTCTTCATCTCCTTTGTCGAATGTAGGACATACACTAAGAAAAACGAATATTCTTTAGTTAAATAATGTCGAGCCTTGAGTACAGAGATTACCTTAAGGTCGATCACTCGTCATTCACCGTAGACATATAAGAATTCTCCATTTTCCATCGAAATTTGTATCATTCGTCGCGAGCAGATGATATCTGCTCGGTTCTTCATCAACCAATCTATACCAATCACCACATCAAAGTTATGAATATCCATTGGAATCAAATCGACCGTGAACTCATGGTCATCTAAGTCTAATTTACAGTCTTTATAAACTTTATCAGCTACGAGTGTTACTCTGTTCGCAGTGTCGACATTGAAAGGTTTCTCAAGCATGATTGGCACAAAATCGAGGTACTGAGTATAATAAAGTGACACAAAAGAATTTATGGCTCCCGAGTCAAATAAAATACATGCAAGTGTATCATTGAGAAGAAAAATACCAGTTACGACGTCCGGTTCCTTCAATGCCTCCGCTGCTGTGATTTGAAAAGCCCTGGCTTGTGCCCTGGGCACCTCCTCCTTTTGGGTTGAAGTACCCACTCTCGTTGGTTGTTGTACCAAGGCTTTGCTTTCATCTTTTTTTATACGGGGACAATCTTTAATACGATGTCCTAACACTCTGCAGGAAAAGCATGCACAATCTCTCTGGGGACAATTCATCCTAAAGTGACCCACTTCACCGCAACAAAAGCATTTAATAACAGATCTATCTGTATCACACCGGCCTTGGTGTGTCTTTTCGCACCTCCGACAATCTCTTGGTGTGCTCGACTACAAAATATCACATTAGTTTTTTTTACATTTCATATCATAGTATCATTTAATACACATTCATAACTGAAGGCTAAATGCCTGACATGATGCGCGTGGGGTACTCTGAGATTAAATTCTTCTCTGGTTGGAGAATCAAGAGAACCGCTGTGTTGGGGTAGACATCATCCTCTCAGTTTGCGGACGTTTCGACATCGATTCATTATCATCAGGAATGGATAATTCATACTCACAATACTGAACGTATTCAACTATCTTGCTAAAACTGGAAACATCACGAGTTACCACAACACTTCGAATCTCCTTCCGTAGTCCTCCAATGAAATGTTCGATCTTATCCTGTTCGGAGCTCAGGAATCGTTGTACAAATCGTGCCTTCTTGTTGAATTCAGTTTCATAGTCTAGTATAGTCATCTTGCCTTGCTTCAGATCCAAGAACTCCTTTTCAAGACGCCTTTGTAGGTCAATAGGGCAATATTGTTCAAAGAACCTTTTCTGAATTCGTCCCACGTCAAACTGTTACGTGTCATCGCATCTAAAGACTCATACGTGGCATTTCACCACACTAGGGCTCGCTCTATGAGCATCGCAGAGGCATATTTTACTTTATCGCTATCCAGTACCTCGGTAATTTGAAACACCTTTTCTGTGTTCTGGATCCATTGCATCGCCAATTCGGGATCTGATTGCCCCGCATATTCTGTAGCACCACAGCTTTTGAAAGTTTTAAATGAAACCTGGTCGGACTTAGGTTTTGGTGCATCTCCGACTTCGTTTAAATGCTTACCACGATTGTCGGGTTCCATGGGATTGTTTTGATTATGTTCTTCCTCAAAGCGTTGCTCCATTTCTTGACGCTGTCGTTCCAGAACTGTAGTCAATCGATCATCCAAAAGTTTCAATAGTCATTCTGTACAAGGGGACAAAGCGGGATTTTCATCGTTCTCGGCACCTTCTGGAGCATTTATATTCAGTGTGGGGTTGTTTTCCCCAACATTTTGTGTTTGACTTAGCTCATTATGCTCCGACATTTTTGCTGAGAAAACAACACATATATGTTAAACACAATCCTACCCTTGGTCCCAACCCAACTTAGGTCTCTCCTACAGGTCCGTATCCCGTATAAATCATTGCCTAGTTACTATACGATCTCAATGCCTATGTTTAAGTCTAAATACCATTTTTGATATTTAGATCGCTTAAACCGGGACTCTGATACAATAATTGTAACATCGCGATTACACTAAAATAAAAAAACAAACTTTCAGGAATATTTAACCGATCAAAAAAAAAAAAAAATTCACCCAAAACCAAGACGGGATACAATTTCTAATTATCCACCAAAAGTTAAGTTTAGTTTGACCGGTAAGTCAAACATCCTTTGAAAATAGTTTAAACAACTTACAAACTAAGACTTTTACAAACCAAAAGTCGGGAAATTTGTAACTAAAAATTGGTAACTAAAAAATTGGAATCAACAGGTTACATGTATGATTTCGGTACCGAATCAAATCAACGTATCAAGAAGCCATACAACTCAAAACTACTTAGCGTCAATGAAACCATATCGATATGAATCAAACCGACGCGAAAATTTCCATTTCCGACCCAAAAATGGAATTAGCCCATGCCAAGCTCCAGATATCCTTTTTAATACCTCTAGAGTGCACATTTCAAATTTCATAAGCAAACAATAAAGCATTTCCATGTTATGGCTACACAAACTTTGACTATCCTAGATTGATTTCTGTATGCACCAAGGTCACTTGCAGACCTGTTTTTCATATCTTAGACCCATTTTCATGCCATCACCTCAAAATACCAAATAAACTAGACTCGCATAACTAACCAATGCAACTGACC